TCTGAAGCAGCCTGACCTGGAGCCACACAGAGGCAAAAGCAGGCACAGCCATAATCCCTCCTCCCTATGGCATGAGTGTACTCCTGATGTTCTCTCGGTCTGACCTCTGCAGCAGTGACAGCTATGGCTGGGGAGAACTGCAGGTGACAAAAGCCAAGAGAAAAGTGGCTCAGGAAAGTGCACAAAACACCACCACATCCTCAGCAGTGTTCAATGTGTACTCCCAGCAAGGGATAGAGTTTTATAGAAGATAAATTCTAGGATTTTTTAATTATATCGTGAAAGCGTGCTCATGTGTGAATGCTAAAAATAAATGTAATTTGTTTATAGCACAGATGATAGAAATTTCAGCCTAGATTCGTGTAGAATGGACATAATTAACAAGTCAGAAAAAAAATTAATCTCCCACAAGTTTACTTTGAGACCTACTTTACTGCTCCTCAAAACATTAATTTAACCTTTATAATCACTGCAACTAAAACCTGATGAAACATCAAGCTCCAGACCTTCAAAATACTGGAAGCATTTTATCTCCAACATACAGCACATGACAATTGTCTATACTCCTTATGAACTCTTTCCACTCATGAAATAATAGAATTATTACCTGAATTATTAGTAGTTGTATTAATTTCTCTGAATTACCATGGTCTGGGCCCAGCCACCAGCAGACAGTAGGTAAACTGCCAGCTGACAGTTCCTACTTTTTCAGCATCAAGTATGCTGCTGCACTGGCAAAGGTGCACTTCACCTAGCAAGTCCTTTCATCAGAAAGTATTTTATCTCACTGGGGAGAGTTTAAGGTGACACTCAAAACATAATCATAAGTATTGAATATTACGCTTTCACTGAAAAGGTTGTTACTAATCTTTGCCTGTTCTTTAAAGAAAACCATTTGTTTTTTGTGAAGATACACATCCCTGGTGACTTCAGACCAGAGAAAATATATGGAATGAAAGGCTGCTGTTTGCCCTTACTTTTAAAGAAGCTATCCTAATTCCTTACCTGGTATGTAACTTCTAGTATTTGCTACATTGTGGCATTTACTTACTGTATATCATTAACTGTTTGATCCCTCTGGCAGGTAGAGGCTTTTAGAAAAGGAAAGAGAAGAGAGATACAATATTTTGGGAAAAAAAACCCTTTAATCCATAATCCTAATGTGATTATTTCAGGTCTTTCCAGGAAGAATCCTGCAGGAGAATCCCAGCTTCATGTTAAACCAGGGCAACAAATACTCTTTGATCATCAAACATGCTTTAAGATCCAACAAAGCCCCAAGAGAAGTGATATTACATGGATTACTGGTAACTTAAACACTAGAAAGAAATGTATGTGGAAATACCCATTCTGTAAATAAGCCAAAGCAAAAAGGTGAAGAACAAATTCTCAGCTAATCTGTAATATCTGATCAGTCTCAGACTGATTAAACTGTAAAATATATAATGCAAAATATATAATTTTACTTTCTTTATATAAAGAAAGTAAAACTTATTAGCAAATCAGCCCACAGGAAGAACAGCCCCAGGGGAGAGGCAGATCTCAGGAGGAAAATAACATGACAAAATCCAGAAAACAAGTTTAAATATAATATTTGTGCCAAGCCATGGCACAAAACCAATGCAGTAACTCTGTGTCAGTGGCAAGGACAGGTATAAATCTGGGACTGGAACGTGCAGGGAAGCCAACACTGCACAGCAGTGGCTCCCACCATGTGGAGCAGGGCTGCTGCAGAGGGGCAGCAAGGGCATGGAGGGAGGATGCTCCAGCTCACCCTCCATCCCTCTGAGCAGATCCTTGTCTGCCTGAAATTGCGTGCCAAAAGAGCTTTACAGACATGCTCAGAGAGGGAGAACAAGATAAAAAAGGACATAAAGGAGGGGACAGGTAGCTAGAGATGTTTTAAGAGAAAGCCAGCAAGGTAGATAAAAAACCCAAGAGGAGAAAACCATTGTGCCAAAGAAAAGATGGAAAAAATGGACCAGCAGGGACTGAATATCACAAGATGAAGGCAAACGCAGGCTAAAGTGCAACTGCTTTATAATTTTATTTTTAGTCATACTGTTAAAGAAAATGGGCTTTCAAAGGTGATGGCTAGCATATTCATCTGCCTTTAATCTTAATATAGACCTGCTAGGATCTATAAAGACTACAACACCAGCATAAAGGGAACTTTTAATGTTGCTGTAAAATCTTTACTGAAGAAGAGTTCAAACTCCAATTTACAGATCTTGAATCAAAGTTTTCAAAGTTCAGAGCGTGGTATTTTCAAATGTTGCTCATCAGAAGTGTTTTCAAGAGCATTTAGGGAAAAGGGTTCATTTTTTTCTCTTACCAGTAATGGCAAGGCTAGCAAGAATTAATGCATGCAAGTTGTGATGGATTCTCAAACCCAAAAACATCTCTCTCCAGCCAGAAAACATTTAAAAATTTGACAAAATCCAAGTAAACTCAGGCTAGTGGCATTTACGAACCAGTCACTTCCAATTAATTCCCATTCCAAATCACATCAGGTTTCACACACAGTCTTCCCCTCATGAAAAAGCTGACTAAAATTCAGAGAAGGCAAGCAGGAAGCAAAGTTATTTATTGAAGTAGCAGCAGCAGATGCTCCACCAAGCAGCCTGCTCTTCTGCTGGGCAGAGACCTAACTCCAACCCTGAGGCACTGGGAAGAATCAGAGTGACTTCTGGAAAGGTACATTTTCTACAGAGCATTTCTTTGCTTCTGCTGAACCATGAAATATTCATGTCAATTCATTACATATCAATGCATTTGTATATTCCCCTGTTATCATGTGTCCAAATGAAAACAGTCTGTTGTGAATAATTTACTCCTGAATCATCAGCCAGCTTTCTTCTTCAAAGCCAGATCTTCATTATTCATCAAATCTCATCTATGGCTGACAACTGTTTAGAAAATATGTTCTCTTCTAAACTTAGGGAAGGTATCAGGATGTGTGTATTTGATGTGCTACAAAACTTGATATTTAGAAGAGATATGCTAACAATGAAGTAAAAATACTTATAAAGACTATAAAACATGACAGTTTCAAGTTAGTGGGCTGGATCCAGTGTGTAACAAATTGTTTAACCTCCAGTAGGAGTCTCTGTGACCGATCTTTCCAGGAGGTCCCCAAACCCCAAACCTCATCCCATCACAGGAGCATAGAGCCTGATGCAGAGTGCCTCAACCCAAAGATTTACAGCAGAGAACTTATTCAATGCACAGCCAAAGGCTATGTGAAAGCAGAGCTCCTTAGAACAAATGTACAGTGACTCAAGAGGTGACAATGCTAACTACTCCATGGCTGTTTCAGTAAGGACCAGTTTAACTCACACCAGGCTTGCCGCAGCTCACTGGTACCTTCAGGGAAGGAGGCAAAATTGTGTTTGATGGCAGCTCCAAAAATGCATTTGCACAACATTTCCCTTTGCAGCATGAAGGGGCATTGCTAAAATAACTCATTTTGATTTTGTTGTGGGGCTCTTTGGTAAGAGATAGTACAGTGTCTCAGAAATGTTACTTCTCCATCCCCTGACTCTCTCTGCAGAGAGTGAAAGGAATATAAATGTCCTTGCTGCTTGATGTTACTGTAAAATCCATTACTGGGGGAAAAAACAGTTTCAAAACAGGAGTCACTAACTACATAATCCCCTTGTGAAACACAACAGCGATTCTGAGTTAAGGATGCACTTTTTAATGAATGTAGGTATTTCTGCCATTTGCTCACTAATGTACTCAGTGTACTCATTATAATGTGCTCCCTTGTAACCTTTTTATTCAAAGCAACCTTTTTTCCATTTGCTGCTAATAGAACACAATGGTTTTCAATTTCAAGATCCTGAGCAGAAAACTCCACTTCTCTGAGGTCAGGAAAAAACCTGAAGGCACACCCATTATTGTACTTGTCATTGCAGAGAACCACAAGTGAAGGAGGCTCAGGGAGGATCAGCTTCCACTGACTGCAAAGGAAAGTGAACCAACAGAATGATTCAAACAATACCTTCTGCCTCTGTAGGATCTCAGACATTATGTACCTTCATTCTTGTCTTGGCTTAGCCAAGTTGGAATTCAATCATTCCTATGCACATGTATATTCCAGGTGTATGGATTGAGGTATTCCTAATTCAGGCACTCTTGCTATTACAATACTATGAAATACAAGGAACCTTGCAAAACGTTAACTATTAACATCAAAATTCCCAAATCAGCTCATGGCATGATTTGCAGTAGCTACTGCTAAGAAATGAGGTTTTGAAATTTACTAAAACATCACAGAGAGAGAAAAGATACCAAACTGAAACACATTTCCTGTTAGAAAAGAACAGCAAATGTGAAGATGGGAATCTGTGCCTTCAGCTGTACAATCCTATGGACTATAAAGATAAAAAAGGAAGGCAATGTTCAGCACTGATAGAGCCATATATATATAGACAGATATCTTTCAGGTAGATAAGGCAAGATTGCATAATGTGACAGGTAATAAGTAACATAAGAATGGGTGTTATGTAAAATAAAAAAAGAATCTTTCCCTTCATTTGTTCTAAAATGTAATTTGTGAACTTTACTCTTTTTCAGCTCCTACTTTGCGTATTTTAACTAATTTTAGTGTTGAATTAAAAGAAAAGAAGACTAATTGAATTTGCAGTGCATGGTATACAAACAGAATTATAAGATCATGTTAGATTTCTACATCCTCTGAGTTTACAAGCTTAATGTAAAGAGAGCTGTCAATACATATGTCATATATATATATGTCAGTATATGTGTTATATCTTCTTTATATGAAGATAAGAAAAAAAAAAAGAAAAAATTGCATTCACCACCCAGAATGTTTCTTTGTATCCAAAGATGGACCCCAATTTCAAATCCATTTAAGGGCCAGTGGCAATGAATCAACAGGCTTGATTTGGAGGCAGTGAATTCAGCAGTAGGTAATATACCTCAGTGCATGTGCAGCTACATCAGGTTTACATATGTTGCAAAAGGAAGCTTACCTGCCCATTTTTTCCCAGTTCCATTTCAACTATTGCAACAGGAGTGTTTATCTGATCAACGTGCCTCAACTGTGCCTTCAGGTCCACTCTCCAGTTCATGTTTTTCAGGACATTCTCCCAGCGGCTCTGATTGATCAGGCTCTCGTGGATTTGAGTCCGGTGGTTCTTCCAAAATTTTGCAATGACTGCAGCCTGATCTGATGTGATGCCACCTTGCTTTTTGGTTTGGGCAGTGAGGAAAGCTTCCAGCTGATTCAAATCCATGTCTGCTGAAGCAATTGACTGTAGGAAAATAAAGGGAATAAAAGAGAAAAGCTTGCTTAACTGAGGACTTTAAGGACACATCTTTAGGGTTTGACAAATATGGGATTTTAAAATGGTTGCACAAACAAACCAGGTTATGCAAATAACCTGACACCTTTCATTAAAACTCAGTTTGCAAGTGTTTACTGCTAATCCCAGATTCTGCCCCACAGCAGCTGGAGGGGAGTGGGCTGGCTGCAGCAATGAGCTGGGAGCACCTCTGGGAATTCAGCATTGTGTGGGGTAGCAAGGAGGCTGCTCCCTGTGTCCTGGCCCTTTCCCCACTGTGCCACAGACATTCCCAAATGGACAGTGCCACAAGCACTGTGTCAGGTGTGGCACTGCACTGCTGCCCTGCTGGGCCAGCAAACAGGAAGGCTGGGACACAGAAGGTGGGCTCGTGGGCTGGAACAATGAAGGGACAGCCCAGACCATTCCAACACCCACAGTTTCATCTGCCACCTCCACACCACAAACAAGGAAACAAAACTGGTAAGTGCTGCATCAGCAAAGCAGGGCCTGCAGCAGCAAGAGCACGAGCTTCTCAAGGGAGAGTCTAAATGCCAAATGCAACTGCATTTTTTTCATCTGTATTATTCAATCCATAAGGCCCAAAAAGCCTTAACAATGCACCTACAGCTTCTTTTAGAGCACTGGTGGACTTTGTCAGGCTTTATTTGTATTTTGCAACAGAGTGGAAGGGGTCATTTACTCCTTGTCCCTGTGCAGCAACAGAAGTAGTAGTAGTAGTAGTAGTAGTAGTAGTAGTAGTAGTAGTAATAAACAACTATAATAACCATTTTTATATAGATATCCAGTTTTTTTCAACTATTTTTTCAAAACTGATAAACTCACAGCCTTGTATTTGCATTGCCTCAGTGGGACTAGCTGCTGCTATACATGGCCACAAAGGGAGAATGGGAGGTAGAAAAAGGAAGCCGTGGTTAAACTTCCTCATTGTCATTTCAAGCAGATGTTTTTGCTTCATTTTCACACAAAATGGATGCAACTTCTCCAAAATGAGCACACCACCTCCAAGCACATGCTGACATGGAGCACAGCAAGGTGAAGTGCAGCCAGTCCTTGGGATTTGCCTCTGTTTAATCTTCCCTGATGTGATACAGCTACAGCTGCATTCCAGGCACTGGGGAACCACAGCCTCGTTCCTTTAGCCAGGGCTGTGACATTGTGTGGCTTTGGGCTGGACACACACACTGTGCACTCACACTGCCTGTCTGCACACTGGGCAGTGCTGATCTAAAAATGGAGGTGTTTGTAGTGTTTTTTTTTACAAGGGATGAGCTGCCTTGCCTTGCTTTCACAATAGATCAGCTGCCATCTGTTATGTGATTGAGAAAAGAAATGGCAATCAACACTAGGAGTAAACCCTCGGCTGTATTAAGGCTCCAGCTTAACAGGAGCATCTGTGATTTTATTACAAAATCTGAGCTGCCTAGAGCACCATTCTGGCTTTTCTATAGGGCATTTGACATATTGGTACATACTGCTTGCTTTATATCAGAAATATTTAACTTAAAAGGTAATTATCCTGTACTAACTCATTATGCTGGAAGTGAAAACAGCACTTTTTATTTCCAGAAGAAAAGCTATTCAGACTTACAGTCCTTTCCGACAGCCACATCTTACACTGTCTACTAACAGCAGTGTGGAGTATTTTCTGCTTCAGTATTTTTCACATCACTGCATCTGTGTTTGTGTGCTGTGTGACACTGCTACTGCTCGTGTACTCCTCCTGTGCTGGCTGATGTGAACGGGGGAGGAGGGCAGGGAATCAACAAGCACAGAGCCCAGCACCTTCAGCAAGCCCCAGCAAGATCCAGTTCAGATGCAGACTTTCTTCCCAGTTCAGCTGTGCAGAAAATTGCCTTCTGTTTTATTCCTGTGCAGAAACCAAGAACACAAACTGTGTCCTCTGCACTGAGTGAAGCCAAAGGTGCCATGGTAAAACATCTCATTTGTGTTAAATGTTAACCTAATGCAGGTTCATGGTGATACCAGGCACCCCTTTTCTAGGCTTGACCTCATAACCTTTGAGCATTTCACATTTGCAATCCTCTGGAATTTTTTTTTAACCTCACTCCCTTCACAACAACCCTTTTTGCAAGATGCAGCAAGATTTCTGGCAGTGCCCTTCTAAGCTGATAAAAAACTGCAGACACAAAGTTCTTATTGTGCTTGACACGTGATATAAATCTGACTTTGAAGTGTATCCAGACAAGGAAGCTTATGACCAAACTGGAAATTTTAAGCATAAGGAACACAAAACAATATTACTAGAGCATATACAGGACAGTTCAACCTGGCTATTTGGTAAAGAACATCAAGAGATTGATTAATTAAGGTGTGGTGTGAGCTACATTTAAAAACTCTGCACCTTTATGTTTTAAAAGCACCCTGATACAGTTTGCTACCAAAAGAGTGCCACATAAAGCCAGAGGAAGGAAACCATGTGTGATAATTTGCCATCATTTCTACCTCCCTCATATACATGTGCACAGGTGCACACAACAGGGACAGTTTGATACTCTACACATAAAAGAAACTGCACACAGGCAAGAACCCAAAAGGCAGCAATCATACTGTACTTTGGTGCAGTATTTATCAGATAATGCATACCTTAAATAACACAGCCTTGTAGTCCAGCATTCAGACTAGAATCTCTCCCTTCTTGGAAATATGACTACTACTTAAAAATTCCTTAAAAAAATTAACTGGAAGTGGGTACAAACAATCAACAAGTTATATTTTGGTACAGCTGCATGAAGATTTTAATTAATGAAGACATATTTTCTTTGAAATTCCTAAACAAATCCCACTGGCTATAATGGTTTCCAAGTCACATAAGAGCAGTAACTCATTATAGAATTCTTTTTTATCTTAACTTGGAAACATTTCACTGTGGACATAAAAAAGACTATTTAAAGTCTTTGCTGATCTTTCTGGTCTCTTGTTGCATGAACATTTACACAATCTATTACTCAAACAAATTTAGTTCTACTCCATTGCTTATATGAAGGGCCTCACTTCAGAATTTTTTTAAGCTTGGGAAATGTTTTATTTTAACTTGGCAAAAAATTATACTTCAAATCATATTCTGCATAGCATTACAAACAGTTCTTTCTATTACTTTTAACAATGCTCATTTATTACATAGAATACCCAATTATAGAGGACACATCTGATTGGTATTTCTAAGGATTGATTTAAGTTAGAATATGAGTGGTTCTTCTGTGCTTATATCTGGAGAGAGATGAAATATATCTGATTAGAAGTCTCCCTCTCATGCTATTAAACCCCAGGAGCTTCAGATGAGCATTTATCAGCCCCAGGACAATGACAATTATCAGCTGTTATTCAACTCCAACTGCCATGGTGAGGATTGTTTCACTGCTGGAATAAACAACACATGCACAGTTTAGCATCCTAACTGGAAAATTCTCAGAACTTAAAGGTATTGAAACCTGTTTTATCCATCTGCTGCTACAGCTGAATCACTGTCAGCATTGCTTCTAAGAGTGAAACATCTTATTAATGCCAATTTCTTAGCCCAGACAGACCTTAAAGTGCAGAATAATTGCCACATCTTCAGTCACTGTACTGTTAGTGACACATCATTATGTTATAGAGACTTTATACTCAGATAATTTCAGGTTTTTTGGTAATCACATGTAATTTACCATTTCAACATAAAAATCTTCAACTAACAAAACTCAGAAAAGCTCTCTTAAGAATGTATAGAATCACAGCTGTTCTATGCCAGTGCCAAATGTAAATTAACTTTACTGTGACTATTCACTTAAATATCTAAGTAAGAAAAGTAAGAAATGTCTATTTCAAAACTAGAGTCTGTAAGACAACAGCATTAGATATTAAAAATTTCCTCACATTATGTATTTTGTGATTTGATAAAACACTTTTTCTTTTCCCCCCAAGAAAGCACAGCTTATGGACAGTATGTCATTGCAAGCACACAAAATCCTTTCCTTTCCAGAGGCTGAGCAGATGCTTTTGAACAGCAAGAAACAGTTTTAGTCATACTGAATTCTCCTTGTGTTCTCCTTCAACACAAACCCACTGTGTCTTCAAATACAATTCAGCCAATAAAAATAAGACTTCAGATACCATTTCCTTAATGAAACAATATTTGGTAATCTGGAGAGTTTTGTATTAGCCTAATTAGATCCATCAGACATGTGCCCTGGTACACAGAACAGGAAAACAGACTTAAATTCATTATCTCTTCTGAGAAATAAAGCCTGACAAGCATGCAGTACTAGTGAGAAACAACAACTGGTAAAACCCACTGGGAAAAAAAAGAACACATTTCATTTTCAGAAGAAAAACATGACTTGTCAAGCATCACAGAAGAGCTCTAAGAGCAGGGCACAGCAGCACGTGGGGGCATTTCCTCCAGCTGACCCCCAGAAGTGCCAGCCCGCAGCACAAAGCAATCCCAAGCTGAAGGAAACAACAAATCAGTGCCATGGGCTGTGCTGCTGAACTCGCCTCCTCAGGCTTTTGGGAGGTGGGGTAGGAGGTTATTCCTGCACCACAGCCCCTCTCATTCCTGGGCTTTTAGAAACAGAGCCCTGCAAGCCATTTCTGAGCCACCAGGTATGCATGCAGGGAGCTGTGGAAGCAGCTGCAGACAGGAGGAACGTGCCAGGGAACCTCGCTCAGCTGAACATCTCCAGCACACAAAGCCCACCCTGGGTAACACCAACGTGCATCTCTCACTCATCAGCCTCAGATGAAACATTTCCTGCATCTGGGGGCAAACAGCAGCTGCCTGCAGGGAAGAGAAGCAGCTCAGGGCAGCACAGGAGTGCTGCTGACACTGTGCTATCAGAGTCAGCTCAGCGCGTTCCTCTGCAGAGAGCAGCTTGTGACAGGAGGAATCCAACATCTTCCCAACCCTGTGGTTTCTGGGCCTTCCTTTGTATGCACAAGCCTGACTC